TTTATTTCTTTTGGATTAAATTGGGCATTTATACTTCAGGCCAGCAACTCTGCATTCAGCAGCTCAAACCACTTCCCGACCACCATGTAGTGAACCTGACCCCGCTTCCCTTGATTGCTCTTCTTCCACTGGTAAACATACATCATCCATTTCACTCCAGCGAACACTGGCCACCCCTCCAGTCCATTGCTTCCTCTTTTCGTTCTTGCTCTCGACCCACTTCCTGATCTCCAAAATATGTTGTCTTTGGTGTGAAAGTCATTGTATTGGTCTTTTCCATATAACAGTGGTTTCATACAATAGTTATCCTTTTGTGATGGACTAATTTCATTCACCATGATGTTCTCCAGGTCCATCCAATTTATGAGGTTCCTCGTAGAATTATTGTTTTTTGAGCAATGACTAGTATTCCATTGGCTGTATGTACCAAAGTTTCTTTATTCAATCTTCTACTGATGGTTATTTGGGTTATTTCCATTTCTTGCTATCGTGAACAGTGCTGTGCTGATCATGGGTGTGCAGGTCTGTTTGTGCTATGATTTAAACTTGTTTAGGGTATATTCCCAGCCAGGGTATTACTGGCTTGTATGGAATTTCTATTCTCAGTTTTTTAAGGGAGAGCTATGTTGCTCTCCACAAGTTTTGTCTATAGTTACAGTTCCATCAGCAGTATATGAGGTTTCCATTCTCTTCACAGCATTTGTAATTTTCTGTAGGGAAGCATTACCTTGTTCCCTCTGGAAGGGTTCCTTGTATAAAGACTTTGATTAAACTTTGAATGGGTAGTTCTTTGATTGTGCCAGAAACTTGACACAAACACTGAGTGCAAAGAAGATTCCTTGTTGAAAACAAATTCTCCCTTAGGTCAGAATATGTATACCAATGTGAGAATGTTTTGATAATTTGAGAACATCGTGGGCCTGAAGTTGTTGTGCCTTAGTATAGTTCCTGCATTTGAAACTTCCTCTAGTGGGTTAATAAAATCAGCCAGCAGAGACGCTCCAGAGAGGTCTTCTCTCTCGTGAGCCTCTCTCCTTTCCCTCATGACTCAATCTTATGTCTTGTGAGCAGTTATTCCCTGGGTTTCAGGTAGCTCCCAGCTGGCTGGAGTGCTACAATTTTTGTTTTTCCAACTTGGCTGCCATGGTCATTTGCATCTCCCAGATGTCTAATGATCTTGAGCCAATATATTGATTGTGCTAGTTGCACACTAATATTCAATTCCATTTTCACCCTCAGAGATGTGTATTTTCAGTTTCATCAAAAGACAATATGTATCACTCCAAGGATGAACATAATTGCATTTATTTATATGTATGAGTAATAAATTATAATATTGAAATTTAATAAGTTATGAACAACAGTTTCTGACTCATTTATTTTGGACATGTCACAGGGCAAAATAACTGTCTAGATGGCAATTATTTATTTATTTTTTAGTGAAGTAGCTTACCAAAGAAGACTAGCTAGAACCGGTGAGAAGGATTGGCAAAATTGCCATAAAAATGAGCTCAAAAGTGCTGGTGATTGTGAAGATGGCTGCAGATGTGTGAAAGTTTTCTTTAGGTGTACATAAGTTCTAGTAGTATGTAGTTGTCGCAATGACAGCTAACAACAAAAATATTAGTTATGTAAACTAGTTATTAAAATATTACAAGGTTATCAAATGTCTTCTGCAGAAAAATTTAGTTGCAGAATACATTTTCTATTGATGAGCTTATTCTAGTGTTGATGCACATGGTCTTCCTCTGCTTTTGATACCTCTATTGTGAGTTGATTTTCAAACGATGAGAAATAAGAATATTAACTGCAGATATACAATGTTTCAGAAACTGCTACAATAATCCAAGAGAAAAATTCTATAAGTATGAATCCTTTTCCATTTGGGAAGAATGAGGCCATGGGAATTATGAGTGTTTCCATGGACTCACCTACAGTGAATGATAAAGATGAAATTCAACTTTGCAAGCATCGTCAAAGAAGAGCCGCATGGACAAATGCATGCTGTTTGTCTTTGTTTTAGGAACGATAACCTCAACTTTGCTTCTGCTAGGGCTTGGTTGGAGTTTATTCCTTAATATATTTGTCCTTCAGTGTCATTTATCTTTGAGATTTTGTTGAGTTATTACTCTGCTATTTTTGTCTCTTATAAGGTTCACGACCCTTGCAGGGTCCCAAGTGATTTCACGAAGGTGCTATTTTCCTTTTCTATATTCTGAAACATGGAGTTAAATTTCTATAATGTTCTAAAATTTCTTTCATGTAAGTTAGCTTTCGTCACTTGGTGAGAAATTTAAAAAAATGTTCCCAGTGGATTTTGAAAGTGAATAGCCCTATGATAGTTATGACATCCTTTGCAGGATAGGATTTCAAAAAATTGTGGGAAAATTGAATAGAATTTTAGAATAGCTAGAATTCTAATAGAATAGATAATAGAGTTTTTCCTTGAATATTTTAAAACTCCTTTATATTAATTTTCTGGCTGGTGTTAAGTTATGAGTACAATGTCTACTCATGATGGAAATGTACATTAAATGCTTAATATGGGTCTTTCACCTTTGAGTCAAGTAACTATAGTTCTTAAGTACATGTATTTTAAATAAATACATTCATATATTATGAAATTCTTAAAATGTTCCTTAGGTATACAATATGGCTGCTATTGAGACATTAATCAAAATATGAAGGGTGGATAATAATATTATTTACTAGTATTAGATACAGTCCCTAGAAAAGTATGTAAGGAGCCATTGTAGTCCAGTGAGGTACATGTGCTTATAAATGCAACGAGAAGGATTAGGAAGTCTCTCTCATAAATATGTACAACCTTGAAACCCTGTAGAGCAGTTCTACTCTGTCTTAGAAGATCACTGTTAGTCAGAATTGCCTCGATGGCAGCCTGTTAGAAAAGCATATAGGACATTACTTTTTGTTTAAATAAATTTGAAGAATTGACAGGCGACATTTAACTGAATCTGGTACTTATTTAGCAGTCTTTCTTAATTGTGGATTTAGTTTATTTAATTGATGTAAAAGTCTATTTTTCTAATTATCCTTTCCCTTTTCAGTATTAGGGAAAACTTTTAAAGTTGTTCACTTCTTTTTGTATTGCATTAACATAAGTTTCATATTTTTTCTTTGTAATTAACTCTAACCGCACACTTTTTTAGTGTTGCTATAACACAAAAACAAAAAATAGGTCATTTTTAAGAAGATAAATCCACTTTTTCATAGATTGGAAATTTGAATGAAGGACACTCTGTGGAGGAAGGCTCTCTTTATCATGTCTGGGAGAAGGACCTTGTCTCTTTAGCTTCTGTTCCTGGATTCCTTGGTGATCTGCATGTGCCCTGGAATCTCATTCGTGCTATATTTGATATCTTATTTTCTTTTTTTCCCCCTCAGATGTGTTAGAAGGGTAGTAAAACCTGCTCTGTATGATCTCATAAAACAGAAGGCCCCATTCCAGAACTGTATTCCAGGAATAGCTATTGTTGTTGCTAGGTGCCGTTGAGTCTATTTTAATTCACGGTTACTCTCTGTAAAATAGAGCAAAAGACCACCCTGTCTTCTACCATCCTCACAATTATTACATTTGACCCCATTGCTGCCGTCACTTTGGAAGCGCAATAATTCAAGTGCGTCAAATCTTCTTCAATCTCCCGTAGTCAGTGTCCAAACATCACAGGCATATGAAGTGATTGGAAATACTTGGATCAGGTGCAATTTAGTCCTCAAACACACACCTACATTCAAGTTTCCCTGCCCCATTATATTGTTATCTTTATCAAAATCAATTATCATCCATTTGGTCTTATATATAAGTGATTATAGTGTTACATTTTGCAACAGAGAGTAAAATAAGTGTGCATGAATCAAGAATTAAAACTTAAAGGAAATTAGAGTATTATTAAATGAACTATGATGTAATTACTACATATTATTTCTTATAGCATGCACTTATGGTATGAAATATCACCAAATAAAAACACCCCTATATTGAACCTTCAGGTCAAGCAATGGAAGATCTCTACATTTCAGAAAACTTTATACCTTCCCAATCTGTAACATGCCACTTTCTTTGTGTATCTAGGTTTTTAGTCATTTAATTACTATTACCAAAGCTCCAAATTTCCCCAATAGATATCATTTGTGGTCCTTTTTCTTTCTCCCCCCCCCACCAAGTTTTGGGGCTATTATCTGTTTTATATATATATATATGCCCTTTAGAGATTCATTCTCTGTGTGTATGTATGCATTTAACATTTTGGTAAATGTGTTATATATATTTTCATAGTAGCAACTTATAGGGAAAAATGGTATTTTTATTTTTGAAAGTACTTCCCAGAGGGATGGAGCAGTTTGCCAACATAAATAGATAGATAGATAGATAGATAGATAGATAGATAGATAGATAGATAGATAGATTTTGAAGTGCTTCTCTCTGCCATCCAGTAAAATAGAAATAAAATATTGCTCACCATTCAGAATCTATAATGGGTAAAATTAAGTAATGTTTATCTAAATTTTCATTTGGGTGCAATTTTGCAGCACCATTTTTTAATTATATTTGCCCAGGTGATAAAATTACCTGTTTTCTTCTATAAAAGGAATTTCTGATGTAACATTAAAGAATATATCTCTCTCACTTATTTTAAAAAAAACATATTGTTACTAGGCTCTTAAGTTGAGTTTTCAAATAGGAAATAATATTTGGTACATTTTTCTTAATATTATTAAATAATTTTTATTTATAAAGTGATCCAAAACCACCACAAAATATTTATTTGCTAGAGGTAAAAATGATTCTCACATATTATATCACTGGTCTTATTTTTATTCATACCTCTCACACACATTATGTAATGACAAGTACATCACCAATTCTATTCCACCTTGCCTAAACACTACATCAATTCTAAGAAACATTTGTGTGTTATTACTTAAAATGTAAAAGAAATGGAATTAAAGAAACAGCTCTTTAAGCTTTCCAAATTTGATTAATATGATTTAAGTATTTTCAAATCAAGCATCTTCCACAGAGCTGATTTTATGTCTTTGTTTCTAAGGCTGTATATAATGGGATTTAATGTAGGAGGAAGCACAGTATAAAACACTGCTAAAACGAGATCCAGAAGTGACTTCAAGTCCGACGGTGGCTTCAGGTAGCCCAAAGCAGCAGTTAGAATGAACAGGGTCACAACAACCAGATGAGGGATACAGGTGGATAGGGCTTTGGTCCTACCCTCTGAAGAAGAGGTCCTTTGAACAGTGGAGAAAATATGGACGTAGGAATAAAAAATAAATACAAAGCAAACTAGTATGATACCTAAAATAAATGCAATGATTCCAATTTCTGCTATGTTTTTCTTTGAATCTGAAATTAAAATGATTTGTGGAATGTCACAGAAAAACTGGTGAATTTTGTTGGAACTGAAATTTATGGAGAATGTTGCTGCAGTGTGCATTACTCCAGAGATCCCACAACTGACATAGGAAACCACCACCATGTGCCCACAGGCTCTTCTGTTCATGATGATCTCATAGTGCAATGGGTGGCAGATGGCCACATAGCGATCATAGGACATTACTGTGAGAATGGCCACTTCAGCTGAGGCAAAAACCACGAAAAAAAACACTTGAAAAACACACCCCAAAAGGGATATTGAGCTTTTGTGCAGCAAAGAGTTCAGAATAAACTTAGGAACAGTGACAGAGATGTAGCAGGTATCTACAAATGACAAATTCTTCAGGAAGAAGTACATGGGAGTGTGAAGCCGTCTATCCCAAGTAATGAGGATGATGATGAGCCCATTTCCTATCAGGGCTGCCAAGTAAGCCATTAGGAACAAGACACCATGTAGGATTTGCATTTCTGGGTCATTGGAAAAGCCCATGAGAAGAAATTCAATGACAGCTGTCTGATTGATCATCTCCTTGTCATCGTCTTCAAATGCAAGCAGTATGCTGTAATCAAACCCACGGCAGTAAGGCTGCTGAAAATAGATTTCTAAGCAGATTGAACATTTCTAATTCCAAGTGGCTATGGTGCAATAACACATAGTACTGTACTGTAAGGATTTGTTGAATATGAAAAGGGGAGAAGAAGCTGATCTTCAGTACAAGTCTGTTTTGTTGCGTTCTGGGGTGATATCAACTGGCCAAGGCACCATCGATGCAGTTTTCAGCCAGGCCCAGCTTACTTTATGTACCTAGAAAACCAAACCAAACTCACTGTCATCCATTAGACGTTGACTCATAGAGATCCCCTTACGAGTTTCTGAGACTAACTGTTTACAGGAGGAGAAAGCCCCATGTTTATTCCGTGGAGCTGCAGGTGGTTTGGAACTGTGTACCATGTGAACCACAACCCAACTCATACCCACTACACTACCAGGGTTCCTTAAAACTGCTTTAAATAATGCTGACCTAGGAAGGAAAAAACAAGAGATTTCCAGAAAGATGAATGTCATTCTCTGAGCTGAATGGTTGATATGATAAGACATATTTGAAAGTTGTTCAGGAAAACTATTTGAGTTTTAAAGCATTAGTCTGATTTTTTTCCAGAACATTTCTTAATTTTTCAGAAGATACTCCAATTAAGGTTTGAGCAAGATCATTTGGGTGGGAAAAGGGGAAAGCAAAGGGAATCATTGTGAGGATGGCACAGGGCCAGGCAGTGTTATATCCTGCTGTGCACCGGGTCCCTATGAGTCAGCATGGACTCAAAGGCACCTAAGGAAGACCATGAGACTCAGTGTCATGGAGGTCAAAGGGCTAGGATGTCTACCTTGGAACAGAAACACACAAACAGCAACAACAATTTTTAAAAAGTTGGTTTAATCTGAATCTGCTATGTAATGGGTTAATTCCTTTGTGCACTTTGCCTAAATTTCTGTGACTCAAGTTCACATCTAATTAAAAGGAGATAGTATTGTGTGGAATACCATGGCTATTTGCAAAGTGTAATTGATATAATCTATACACAACATTTTGCACAAGTAGCTATATCAACAGCTACTGAATAAGCAAATGTAAATAAAAACTATCAACGTTTACTTAAATTTATGGTGCATTGGGCAAGGTTAAATATAGAGGTCAGAAACAAAGATTTTGCAGCAAGAATTATTGGGTGTGCACTTCTCCACATAGCTAATGACAATAGGTATGCAGCATGTCATTTTACTCATCTGTGCATTCATTTTATCATTTTGTCTGAAAATGGTTTATACATTTAAAAAATATGTTAAATAAAAACAAATCCATTTTTGCTTATTTGATCCCAATTTGTAGTGATCCATTGTAGTTTCCAGGGCTATAATACTTAAGAGAGCAGAGTACACCATCTTTCTCACACTGAATAGATTATAGTTTTAAACTACTTACCCTTCTCTTAGTATCGTTCATTTAACCACCAGGACTCCACTTGTATGCTTGTGTGTGTGTGTGTGCATGTGCATATGCACACACACATACTTAGGTATTTTTTTATACATCTAACCAAATTTTATTTGCACTATGGGGGCTTTCGGTTAACTCTGAATGACAAAACTGCAGTAATCTTTCTGAAAAAACACTTAAATAAGCAAATATTTGGAACGTAAAATGCATTTTAAGATAAATATGATATGTTTAGCCACGTTATTCAGGCAGAGTTTAGGGTGGATAAAAGCTTTTTTATTTTACTTTTAAAGGGAGTACATTTTACATAAAACAGGATAACTGGTACTACTTACATGATGATTCTGTATTAATATCTGTAAAACTGGTATGAAAAACCCGCAGTTGCTCCTTTTCCTGTGACAGCTATTTTGCCTTCATGTAGGACTTGCACCCTCTGATCTTCACAGATCCTCTATGGCTATGAGCATTTTCTCTGAAAACATTTTGATCTCCGGATTGCTCTAAGGAAGAAGCAGGACTTAAGACTTAGGAGTTGCAAACCAGAGGCTTAGATATCTACATTAAATTGTTGAAGAACACCCAGGAGAGGAAGATGAGGAACAAGAGAGATCAAAAGCGTGGTTGCAGTTAAGGGGCCTGGGGAACACAAAGTACAGATGAATCCCCCAGGTGTATTTCATAGGAGATATTTTGTGTGCACATTGCTAGGGATGCAAAGAAATCAGCAGGTGCATGAAAGCAGTCAAAGGTCAAACTCAAGAACATTAATCATTCCAATGCACATATTTACAAATGCATATGTGAAGTTAATGGATTATATCCAATTTAATTCCTGCTTTCAATATCCATACGCTTAGGCTTTATTATAGAAATTATATTGGAATGACAGATGTATATAAATAATCTTTTATTTAATTTAAGTATTTGATTTATGGATACTAACCTTTATATCATTAAGGTTACCAACATTAGGATCTAATGTTTATTTAAAGAGGAGTTGAACAAATATTACAAGTTTATCAAGAGCTTTTAACGAATGTAACACTACGTGTTTCCTCATTGTTTAATGATATTGGAATTAATGTGTGTGGTCCTTTCTAATTATTACACTTCTTGATTGTAGTCCAATATTATTTACCTATGGCAAACACTACACTGGGCAGAAGTCATAGATAAAAGAGCACTCTCTATAGTTTGCAGAATGGTGCCCAAACCTCACGAGGTATCATCTTTGAGTTTCTGAGTCAGCTCTTCTTTCAATGAAGTTGGCCAGTGGCTTCTGGATGGTGCACCATAGGAGGAAAAAAAAAATGGTCATATGCCCAGTCCTAAACCTCATTTGCTTTAGTGTGTTCCATGATCTTATACGATATTATATGAAACACTGTGCTGGCCATAATACTCTTAAGTAATGGTCCCACCAGAGACTGTATGAAGGATAGTTAAATTCAAACTTGAGTACACACCTTCCTCCTTCCCTCATGGTATCACTGCTCTCATTATTGTTCCTGAGGGGTTTATCTGTCCTGGATTCCCTGTGTTGCAAACTCTTCTCTGGAGTAGTGTACATGCTCTGGTCTAGCTGGATTTGTAAGGTAGAATTGGGGTTATGATAGTGGGTGGAGGAAGCATTAAAGAACTAGAGGAAAGTTGTATGTTTCATTGGTGCTATACTGCACCCTGACTGGGTCATCTCTTCCTTGTGACCCTTCTGTAAGGGAATGTCCAATTGTCTACAGATGGGCTTTGGCTCTCCACTCCTCTTTCCTCCTCACTCACAATGATATGATTTTTTGTTCTGGGTCTTTGATGCTTGATACCTGATCTCATTGACATCTCATGATCACACAGGCTGGTGTGCTTCTTCCATGTGGGCTTAGTTGCTTTTCAGCTAGATGGCCGCTTGTTTATCTTCAAGCCTTTAAGAACCCAGATGCTATATCTTTTGATAGCCGTGCACCATCAGCTTTCTTCACCACATTTGCTTATGTACCCATTTTGTCTTCAACAATCTTGTCAGGAAGGTGAGCATCACAGAATGCTGAGTTATTAGAACAAAGTGTTCTTGCATTGAGGAAGTACTTGAGTAGAGGCCAAATTTCCCCTGCTGCCTTAATACTTAACATATAAATATATGCACATAGACCTGTTTCCCTATTATTACATATAAATATATTTACATATGTACATGCCTGTATTTAGACCTCTATAAATGTCCTTTGCCTTCTAGTTCTTTCTTCTATTTCCATTTACTTTCCTCTTGCTCAACTATCATGTTTGGCCTTCATTTGGGTTTTGGTAATTCTTCTTGGCAAATATTGCCCTTGATTAAGCCCCACCAGGCATCCTACACCCTCCTTGCCATCAATTTTAGATCATTTTTTGTTCCCTTCTCCTTGGGTTTAAAAACAAGAAATTTTAAGATGATCATATACCCTTTTATCCTGACCAGTATTTGTAACTCTTGCATATCGCTATCAATTAAAGATTAAACAATGGTATGTTTTTGCAACTTAATACATAATACATATTTATCTATGCAATTACAAGGTGGAATAGTTTCAAGATAGCCTTGTATGTGACAGAATGATCTCATTTTCTCGTAGCATTTACATGAAATAAAGGAAATACTACAATGGAGCTATTTGATTCAGAACACTGGGAATCTAAGTTTTATAAAGTGTGAGTTCCAAGTCTGCGCAATAAGTGGCCTACCTAATTCCAAAAGGAGTTCTCTGGTCCTTCTTTTCGCCAATAATGACATGGTGCTAAAAAATGTCAAATTCTTCATACTTGCTTTATCCTTATAGAACTTTACCAAAACAAAGCCTTCTCTGAAACATTTTTGGGGAAATAAAATGCTTTTCTGAATAAGATTCCCACAATCTGAGCTGTTACCAGTCAGCTACTCTATGTATATGAATTGCTGTTCCCACCTCTTCAGTAGGCTTAAGGAATAGTGGGTGTTAGCTGATAAGTACAATTGATTAACCTAGGGAATATAGAAATTTATTCTTTCAGTAAGTACCAAGAGCTTTTCCTCAGAGAATAGATAATTTCATGACGACTCAGACTTTCATAACTTCTTAATCTGTTTTGCTGCTTTTATTTTTTAATTTATTTTTATTTTTTTCTCATTTTATTTATTTTTTATTATTTTTTTTTAATCAATTTATTGGGGCTCATACAATTCGTCACAATACATAGATCAATTGTGTAAAGCACATCTATACA